AAGAGCTTTAATAGAAAGCTCTTGAGCTGATAAGCATCTGAACTAGTACCTGCTGAACCAAATGCTTTTTATTTGCTTCAAGTCTTTCTTGAATTTCAGTCTTAATAAAATATTGGAAAATGCAAACGAAAATTAAATGTCTAGAGGCAAAAGCCATCGTTAAGGGTACATTTCACATTCCTTTCTTTGGTAAAAAAAATGTAAAAAAAGACAAAAAAAAACGAAGAAAACGAAAAATGTGAAATATTTTCTCGAAAGTTATTAAATGGCGAGTGTTGCAAAGAAAAATACTTTTTCATTGTCAAACTGCGCTCAAGCTCAAATCGAACTTGTAAGTACGAATGTAAATTCAGTTGAAACGTAAATCCATTCAGCTCCAAATAGATAGGTATAGCTTTGTTACGCCTACATACAACATCTCTTATACTTTCCTGTACGTCTCGATTCGGAATATCCTGTAATTTGCTACGTGTAACTTCTTCGGGTTCTAAGTATTCAATTTTCTTAAAATATATTTATAAAAGTAACTTGCAACCTTGTCGTTATCCACTACATTTAATAACTTCGTAATAAACACCCCGTATTTCTCCCGATTTCCGAACTCCGTCCATCTATACATTGCAATTAATATCCATCCAAATAGGAATCGGTCCTATTTCTTGATTTCAGGTAATCCAACTAAAATAACTGACTAAAATTTGCTTCATACTTCCTTAGTTTACAGTTCTAAGTTGTTATCAACCAGTGTGTTTTTATTCAATTAACATAGGATTGATAACAACTGATATAAAATATCTTTCATCTAATAAACAGGCGGTTATTATGCATAGGAAACATATCACTTTTTGAACGTCACAAAAGCGCTGAAAATTTTTAACAGGTACACGAAAAATTATGGAAACACGTATGTCATGAGGTAACACTTCGGTCACCGTATGATATGCACATTTCCATAATCTTCTCCTAGCACAGCAATTAAATTCGTGCAAAAGATTAACAAGCTAAGAGAAGTTCATGGATGCTGTCAGAAATGTGTCACTTTATCGATATTCTAATACTGAATGGCCGAGTGAACATTTAATCTTTTCTAAATAGCATCAATATCCATGTGAAACGTATTGATAATGGAAATGGCAAAACGAAATTCGAAGAAAGAGGGAAAAGCAATAAAACAAAAAAGAATTATTAATATCAGTCACTGTGATGATATAAACAATTAAACAACTTATTACAAAATAAATGGGTTTAATAGCATCGACATAATCATGACATAAACAAGCTTTAGTGGATATGAAATTCTACGACGTATGCCCTTTGTACTGTGATAGCATAAGAGAAAAATATAATACGATCCAGAGCAATAGGGAAATGTGAAGATGTGAGCCAAGAAGGTATTTCTATGAAAAAGTTATCTTAGAATAGGTTCCTACAAAGTCAAGAATAAGAAAATGAGGATGAATAGTTGCCCTTCCGGAAATATTATTTAAAAAAGAAGAAACAAGACAAGGAAACGAGCAAACTGAATCAAACGTATAAACTGAGGCATGATAATCACATGTTCGTATTCAATTTCAGTGCAGTGATTTAACGATGACATTTCCTCACTAACCGTTCTTGTTGTAAACAGAAATTGGAGAAATCCAACTCCAACAAGAAAAGAGGTGGATTAGAGTTAGCAATTTATTTCAGCCGATCACAATCATTTCACATTACAAAAGGCTGAATTGGAATTTCAGAGTACGTAAAAGCAGATGTTCAAAAAGAAGCCTGAAGTAACTTTCGCTGCTGAACAGGAGACATAATTGAAGCGTTACAAATTAAATCCCATGAATATGACGAACATTTCAATTCTTTCGGTACAGATACACCAATGAAATGATATTCGGAATTCTTGTATTCCACCTGAAACCATTATTTACTAAAGTAAAACAAACATTTTCATATCCTGTTATCCTACCACGCAAGTTAAGCCCGAAATCTTTTTACCACTTTAATTTGAATTAGAACAGTGTCCATGAAGCCTACCAAGCTAATGGACAAGGAAAATGCTCAATTCAAATCATCATGAACCTTCTACCTTTGTTCAACTGAAAGAAAAAAAGCTAAGGGCAAAAAGTCAAAAATAAAAACAAAGAACAAAAGAAAAAAGACATAATCACTTTAGTCAGAGCAAATTTATCAATATGACTCGTGTATGGAATTAAAGGTCCGTAAGTTACATCGACGAAATCACCCATTCGATAAATAATTACTCCTTGTTCGCCATTTTCGGTTTCATGCTTCATTTTATGAACAAGTTCTTGTTTCCAACTATAAAATGATAAATTGATTACTTAGTGAACGAATAGCAAACAGTACTCAACCAGAATAACTGGAAATGAAAAATATACATACACATTTGAATCAAATAAATCCAATGCAAAGTCCAATGATACGAGCAACGGTTCGACGATCAAAGCTTTTGCGATGTATTCTCCAATGGCTTTCTCAGTCAACGCAAACAAATTTTCCTAGAAGTTTGTGTAAAATGTTAGAGACTAAAAAATGAAGCGAATATAACAAAATGATAGAGTATTTCTCCCAAAGAGCGGTAGGAATAGAGAATTGCTTTTGAATTAGAGATAATAAGTGAATTGAGGAAAGAGATCACAGAATTTTAACTCACTGTTAGTTTCTAAAATAGAATAATTCCGATGCAAGTAAGAACAAAGCCTACGTGTTAATTGTAGATTTGTTGCGAAAAGAGATGGAATTTTATTTAAAATGATTTTTTTCTATTAAAAATTATTTCTTAAAATCAATCCCTTGCAAACAACACACAACACATGTTCCTTATGTTGACGCAAAAATTTCACACTTACTGAGTTTGGCGTCCAATTTTGCAAATTCTTTATCCTCGCAATGTATTCAAACCTACCCGAATGATCTAAATAATACTAATATCAATTAACAAAAAACAAACAAAACCAAATTACAATCGATGTTTTCACATCGAAGCTATCAATCATGTCAAAAATCCCGAAGATATAAAAAAAAAATTAAAACTTACAGTCTATTGTGGAAGGACCAACAAGCTGCACATCAACAGCAAATGCTTCATCAACAACAGCACCCAATAAAAACGCACATGTTCGCCAATAAGCCTGGGAAAATATTTTTAAATCTCTTTGATAAAACTAACACACATATAGTAAACACAATAATTTTCAAAAAAAAAGTAAATTCCATCCAGTTATTCCATCCATTCTTATCTGCAGATAAAAACAAATATATAAATAATTACTCCTTGATAAAAGTATAAGAATAACGACAAGTATAAGCAAATTAAACACCCGGTATCCAATACGTAATGTGCAAATAAATGAATAAGGACAAAATTTACTACCATATTAACGGCACTGGCGTGATGTTTATCCTGGCAATTATAACCCAATGGTATCATTTTTCCATTGCCCGATAATTTCTCAAGTACTGACTTGTAAGAACCATTCGCACATGCTAATGCCATACGATCAGCTTTTAATCGCGAAATATCTAAATTTCAATATTTTCAATTCCTAATTTCTTACAAAGGTAATAATGAATGACAGAATAAAAAAAGGTAATAATGAATGATAGAATAAAATAACCATGGATCAACAAGGAAGAATCCAGCCACTTTTCTGGAAGATTAATGAAAATATTGATGCATACATTTAATGAATATAATTTATCTAAACCTACGTTTCATACAGTCACGAAAAGTTGAAATATTTCGATTCATCAGTACCTTGACAGGATCATTACCAGTGTCATTTTCAATTGTCCAGAACACCTAAGAAAGTTTTACGTCTATATGGAAAGTTATTATACAATATTATACAATATACATGCAGGTTAAATTGCAGTATACAATATTACTTCAGAGCTAATAATAATAGTTTCATTCTGGTAGGCATGACACACATTTCTACATAAGATATCAAAAAAAACTTTGGTGTTACATGTTCACACATTTTTAAACGTCGAACGTTCACGTATGATGCTGTAATCGGATTAAATAAGTTATTTCTGGTAAGTTTACCTAAAAGGGTCAATATTATAAGCTTGACCCACAAGATTCGATATAAAGTTTACACTGAACATCATTTTCTGAAATGAACCTTTTCAACCTTCTTTTCATGAACTATGGCTTGCCGCTGTTTTTCGTTACAAAACAATTCCAAACGTCGTTGTCGATCGAAGTTGTGAAGTGCATGATATCCTTAAAACTATAACTAATTAAGGTAAAGGGGAGGACGAAATTTTTGAAAGAATTATGAGGAAATTAAAGTTAAAGTTAGTTAAAATATTATTAAGGCAGCACTGTGTAATTCTAAAAATCCTCTTTCTATGGACTTCCTATGGAAAATTATTTAGCACATTTTTAACAAATATTAAAGCTAATGTGTATCTAGTCGGAAAGAACTGATTTATAGGCATTAAGTTTGGTGAAAAAACAATTCTGTATCTCCATATACAAGTGAATAAAATCAAGTTCCATGCTGTTGGTATCTGCTTATTACAATTCTCTTCAACTTTCTCTTTCTATCGGAAATTTTGTAAAACTTTACCTTTCTTTAAAACATTCTCAGCCCGTGCCGAACAGCAGGCCATTTTTCCCATTAAGGATTGCAACATGATTCAAACCTATGTGCCCAATTAAATGGTTATATCACTGGTCAGCCATACTTCCTCAAAATCAAATCATCCGATGAAACTAATTTTATATACTAATTGGATGTCTTTCCTCAAAAAGTGACATTTGTAATTCTCTTTTTTCACGTTACGTGAGTATACCTACCAGTAGCAACGAGAGACCACGGACAATTCGAATACACCATCCTAAACGTAATAACAAATGAAACAACAACCCATGTTATGCGAACGGTTCATAGATATGGACGAGCCACGCTATGGATAATTCCAAAGAGCGGCCCAACCGTTGCTCGGTTTTATTGACGTGAGTAGATTAGGAAGGGCGAGGGGAGAAGGCGGGAGGCGTTACACGTCTTACGTACGTGGAATATTAAAAGTGATAAATAGAACTAGAAAAGTGTACTCATTAAGTCAGCTATGTTTCTTTTTGTTTAACGATCTTTGTTCTCATCCGAAAAATATTTACAAATATTTTATTATTGTATATCAAAAGCACCCATACATTGGTATGTTAAAAGATTCGACTATTTTTATTTAATATTTCAGTTATTATCAGGCGTGCCATAATTGAATAACGATACAGTAGTTGATAACAATTTAGAATTGTAGCTGAGAAAGTATGAAGCAAAGCATTTCTAATGCTATCGATAAACTTCAATCAGTTTTCTTAGCTTCAAGTAAAATGAAGTTGAATTACCTGAAATCAAGAAATAGGACCGATTCCTATTTGGATGGATATTAATTGCAATGTATAGATGGACGGAGTTCGGAAATCGGGAGAAATACGGGGTGTTTATTATGAAGTTATTAAATGTAGTGGATAACGACAAGGTTGCAAGTTACTTTTATAAATATATTTTAAGAAAATTGAATACTTAGAACCCGAAGAAGTTACACGTAGCAAATTACAGGATATTCCGAATCGAGACGTACAGGAAAGTATAAGAGATGTTGTATGTAGGCGTAACAAAGCTATACCTATCTATTTGGAGCTGAATGGATTTACGTTTCAACTGAATTTACATTCGTACTTACAAGTTCGATTTGAGCTTGAGCGCAGTTTGACAATGAAAAAGTATTTTTCTTTGCAACACTCGCCATTTAATAACTTTCGAGAAAATATTTCACATTTTTCGTTTTCTTTCGTTTTTTTTGTCTTTTTTACATTTTTTTACCAAAGAAAGGAATGTGAAATGTACCCTTAACGATGGCTTTGCCTCTAGACATTTAATTTTCGTTTGC